TATATAATTATAATTATATAAATTATATAAATTATATATAATTAAATATATATGTATATATATTTAATTATATATAATTTATATTTAATTATAATTATATATAATTTTATATATATATAAATAATTTTAATTATGAAAGATAGTGCAAATGTATATTAAATTTATAATAATATTTTAAATATTTATATATAATATTTTAAATCATATACATAATTAAATAAATTTATAATCTCTTAAATTATGTATATGATTGAAAAAGTTGGAAGATAATTTAAAGATGGAAATCAAGATCCATTTGTAGGAAATGTATCAAAGATCGCAGATAATATATGAATTACGAAGAGAGGTAAATTTCCACGACCAAGAACGCGAAGCCGCTACTAAACGCACTAGCCTTCGTCGTCCAGTTTCATTTACATTTTCACTTTTATCCTTATTTTCATACGCTTGTTCTAGCTTCTGCAAACAGGTAGCGCATTTTATATCAATGTACCTGAAGCCTATGCGAGTTCCTCGCATTTTTCCAGGTGCGGCAAATGTGTGCCGCACGCACTGACAAGTGGCGATCTCGAGGGAGAGGAGGTGGCCTCTTCGTCCGGTGTTACGGCCAAAGATTATCGCGACTCTCGCGCACGGGATCACCGTATGTAAATGGTAATTATCGGGTTCAAGCGCGCGGCTGGAAAGATCAATTAGTTATGCCGTGAGGAGAACGTTACGTATACGTGCGTGTATGTATATGTAATCTTGCGCCTTCCGAGATTGATCGATTAGGCGAAAAGAGCGCCGGGAATAACATCGCGAGAAGACGTGATACGCAAAAAATCGTACTGGGAAACGAATCGCGTAGTCCTCTGCAATTATCTGACAGCAAACCAGCTGCGAGTTTATATTCTTCGTGTCTCCTTTAAAGAATTCAATCGATGCAGAAGACGTTTAAATATAATAAATTCAGTTGGTGTGAAATTAATACACAATCCACGTGCGGGCGGCATGCGACGAAACATGATTTGGTCGTTTTGTAAAATGACAATTTCACGCATATAATTTACATCCGTAAATTTGAAAACTGGAGAAAGATTATGACACACGCAATTACTGCATAAGACGAGAGTTTTTTTTTTCAATACGAGAGCGCAACATTCGACACGTGAGGCAAACAGCTATAAATTACTAGGTAGAATGAGTGAACGATACAATGTGAATAGGTAGATAAATCTGTAATAATGGCGAATGAAACTTGCATAAACTCGGAAATGGCACCTGTTTTCACTTGCCTCGCATGTCTGATCGAGAGTCAGACTAGTACATGTAGCTTATCGATTACGTAACACCGCGTACCGAACGAATCGAGCGAAAAAGAAGGCCGCTCATAACTTCATCAGGATAGAAATACATTAATAAAATGCGTCGGAAATTGTGCCGACTCAATAAAATTTCATATATTTATATTAAACTGGTATTCTTTTCTTTATCAATAAAATTATTCTAATTGCATCGTTAAGTATACGTTTGTGCCTTGAACTTTGATGCTGCGCTCGATATTATACTTGTTTCTCGATCCTCATTATGTCGCACAATATCATTTGATGATTACTCCGATTACGCGCAAACATTGATTCATTTAATCATTAGAATATCTAGAGTAATTAAATCTAGAGATCTAGAGTAATGAAGTATTCACCATTTAAAGAAAATTTTAAATTCCGTATTTATTTAATATTGTATTAATATAATACTAGTAATTATATATCAAATTTATTGCGCGTATAAATTAATGTCATCTCATTGGATAATTTAAAATAAACATCCGTCCAGTTTTATTTTTGTATATAAGGATTGTCATTAATTAACACTAGTCTACACACACACACATATATATAATAATCTAAAAATAATGATTAAAAAAGATATAAAATGTTAAATGACATAAATTTTATAACATTTTCTTTCGCAATTTTCGAATAGACGAATTAAATAGCGACGACGTTTATTACTTTATCTACTTAAATCACTTGCAAATCAATAATTTACACATAATATCGCACGAACTCTTGCGAGTATTCTTTACATTCACGTGTTTAACATTGCTTCTCTAAGCAAAATCGACGCGCGTAGGCTGCTTTAGAGAAGCGCCTTCTTCTGATCGCCTACGCGTATTCTACCGAACATGCTCATGCATTGTCGTAAAAGTCACAGGATGCCCCCGTCCTTGTAAGAGAAGAGTCCTCGCTTCTGAACTGAACTTAACGAGCAAAGATGCGCGCGAAGAACAGTAAAGGAGCTATTAATAAATTATGAAGTCATTAATGACGCGGTGCGAATCATTAGGCTTCTTCTCCTTCTTTCTCTCTCTCTCTCTCTCTCTCTTTTCTCTTTTAAACATTTTGCAGCGATCATCATTTATAAAAATGCGACAAAAATCTCATATTTTATATTTCCTGTGTTGCATCATGTAAATCGAGATTTAAATGTATTATAATACAGGCATCTTGTCTGGGAATCGTAAAGTCGCGCTTAATAGTATCCGAGCGAGAGATTTCACTTTTGAGGCACATTTACTCGCTGCTCAAGGTCGAGCGATAACTTTTCTATTATTGGCAGGAAATAGAGCAAGAGTACGCAATTTATTACAGCTTCCTCCATTTAACGCCGATAACGTTTCCGGTCGTTTTTGCTACTCGTAAAGGATGTTCGTGTAGAAAAAAGGATTCGAAACGCTCGATTGATATTAATTTTACAATTTAAGGCCGAACGTCGAGAGAGAAATCCAAGACAGCAATAATCGTATTTCAATTTCATGAAAATCTTGTATCTCGATACATCGATACAGAATTTTTGAAACAATATTTGAATAATATTTTGCACAATATAGGCTTTTTTCTTCAGAAAATGTTTAGTAATGTAGGCGAGATAATAAAAGTATCTCGAGATTGTAAAAGTTTAAAACGAACGGACAAGCAATTTCTTTCCCTTGTCAAGAAGTTTCTATATAATTGATATATCTGTCTGCGAATATTCGAGAAGAAACGAATAAATATATTGCATATACAGGATAGGCCATTTTAATCTACGCACTGAAATATCTCAAAATCCATAAGTTTAAGACAAAAATGTTTCAGACAAAAGTTGTATGGCTTGAAGGGGGACATAAGATGATGCCATTAGTTTGACCTTGAAGAGTAACCTGAAAAGCACGTAAAGGTCATCTCCAACTTTTTAAACGGGACACTCTATATACTTTTGCAAATTCTTATAGCTTGCCTCAAGAGCTTTTCAAAACACTATAATAAAGTATTTTTTCATTAAATACTTTTCGAGTTATGAGGCTTGAAATAATTTTTCAATTTTACATAAACCATGAAATCTAGTAAAATATTCATATTTTATTAACTTGTCTTAATACTTTTATGTACAAAATAATGAGAGGAATTAATTGATGTAAAGAAAACACATAGTCGTTTTTAAGAAAAAATATGTAATTGCTAATTGCAAATTATATATTTTTTCTTCGAAACAATTATGTTTTTTTTACACCAATTGATTTCTCTCATTATTTTGCGCATAAAATTATTGAGACAAAATCATCGAACAGTGAATATTTTACGAGATATTTTATAGTATATGTAAATTTGAGAAATAATTTCAAGCCTCATAACTCAAAAAGTACTTAATGAAAATATATTTTATCATAGTGTTTTGGAAAACTCTCGAGATGAGCTACAAGAATCTGCAAAAGCATATAGGGTGTCCCGTTTACAAAGTCGGAGGTGACCTTCACGTGACCTTCAGCTGACTCTTCAAGGTCAAACTAATGGCACAGTCTTATGTCCCCCTTCAAGCCATACAACTTTTGTCCGAAACATTTTTGTCTTAAACTTATGGATTTTGAGATATTTCAGTTCAGCGTTGATCAAAATGGCCTACCTTGTATATCCTAGAGAGCTATCTCGGTAAATTGCAACGCGCAAGACAGCGCAAGAAATTGCGATTCGCGCTCGCGCCGAAAGAATGACGTTGTATATTTTTGCATGCATAAAGAGCGTTCAAGAGTGTCGATGCGTAAGAGTGCAAAGTAGTAGTTGGAATACCGCGAACGAGCTCGCGAGCTACTAACTCAAACCCATATGCATACTTACACACACGCGCGCGTCAAACGATATTGAGAAGTCGGCTTAATGACAATCACTCGTAACGCAGGATCATACTCGTCCTTGCAACCTGCAGGATCCTTGCCCCTTGCACGACGCACCGGAGTGTTGCGTCAGCCGACCATCAGTCCGATCCGTCAGCTTCTCTCTCGGTTTTATCATCTCTAAACGCACACACATATGCGTGCCTGCCATTCGTACACACCTGCCTTATGCGCGTATATTACTTTGCATTGAACGCGATCGCTCACGAGTATCATTTTTTTCTCGCGACAAACATAAGCGAGAGACACAGCACTTTATTATAGCGACTTGCTGATAAATCACAATAACTCTCAATCTCGCACGACAATAATAACCCATCGCGTAAATCTCCGTGTCACGTATAATATTCGTTGTAGGACTTTAAAGATACCTGTTGGACTCGATACGTATCGGGTTAATTATATATTCTAATAATAAGCGGATGTTAATGATGTGGACAATGACGCGCTATGGCGCACAAGGTATTTCGCGTGATATTTTCAACTCGGAGCAAATTACGAAGCGGAAAAATCTATCGAGACGTTCACGTTCAATTAAAGTGCATCAATAATATCTGGAGTACTTAATCTATTATTAATATCTAATTAAGCGGCTGGAAAATACCGATGATTGCTATAGCTATTGCTATGCCAGCTTTTCAGCCGCGGAGCCTGCTTTATAATCAAAGTCGGTCGCTAATGTATGATTGAAAGTAATTAAAATACGTACGCCCGATAATCTGCGCCGCGTCACAAGGCTCTCGGTGATGGCGAACGTCGTTCAAGGAGACCCGATCTAATCCCGTATCTGCGAATGTGATTGCAGGTGACGAGCAGTATCGGGGCGCCGGCGGTTCGAGCAGCGGAAGTCCACCCGCCAGTCTCTTGGTGGTTCCTCAACCTCTCACCGTCAAACCCTCCCATCCGTCGCATCTGAATTCTCATCTCGGCGGACCGCACTCGCATCCGCCGAGGAAGTATCAATGCAAGATGTGTCCGCAGGTGAGTGGAACCAATCCCTCCGGTATCTCCGTTCGATATCGACCCATGGGGTATGCACAGAAAAAAAAGAAGCGCCAAATCAAAACTTATATATTTCAACTAACGCGTTCATTGTTTCGTATATATACGCAACAATTTCTAATCTTCTTAGAAAAATTTAACAATTTTCAATTTCAATATTATATGGATCTCAAGAATATATAATTATTATTTAAATAATTATTTATTAAATATATAATTATTATTTATTAAATAATTATATAAATATAATTATTTAATTCCACTTTAAGAAAATTATAATCCTTGATTTGAAAATGTTATTTTCTATCTAACATTGTTTCTTTTCCATTCAAGAAAATTAAGGATGTATTGGAGATATATTACAATCAATGAGATCGCGGTGAATTTTTAATTCAACATTCTTAATAATATTCTAAATCGTCATGAATTATTTCAAATTTTTTTACTTGCTCCTTTAAAAGTTATTAATTTTTGAATTTTGCGATTTAACATAGGATCTTATGTAAACGTTCAAGAGACAGGTAATAAATTATTTACAAACTATAAAAAAAAATGATAAAAATTTCATTTTGTAATATTATATTCTTCATACGTGTAAAAATGTTCCCACAAAGTTTTAAAACGATTTACTTGCTCGTTTTAAAATTATTATTAAAAAATAACTGTGATTATCGGTTTGATGCAATATTGATGATAAAACGCGGCAACATTTTCTTGGAAATTAAGACTTATTTATATTAAAGAATACTTTGAAGTATGATTTCGTGATTTTTAAGTAATTTTTGATCAATTAGAATTCTGCCCAACTTTAATTTTTTGATACTTTGGATTAACTTTTGAGGCAGACGTCCAATACATCCTTAAATCTTAAATCATGAGAATATATTTTTTTCGATTGAATATAAAATGACTTCATTCAAGTAAGCAATTATTCAAATAATTATTTTTCTTTAATTAACGCAATATAATCTCATTTCAACATTTCGATGTTAAAACTAAATATATTTTCAAAATAAAAATGTCCTTTTTTTCTGTGCGCTTACGTTTATTAGCTCTCATCATTCTTGAGTAGCGTGTTATTTCATCTAAACGAAATGACTACGCAATTGATATTTCATGTTAATATTTCACTTTTAATATCGTAAAAATATAAAATGCATCGTAAAAAAATATTCGTTCAAAATCGAGAATGCTTCTGAAAATGTCCATGTAACCCGTTATCGGTTACCTGTTTTCTTTTTCAGGCAGTTCTTTTTTTTCTTTTCATCTCTTTATATTTTTTTCTTGAAGGCCTTAATAGTTTTATTTGCATTGATCTTTTCGTACGCTTTGTCTTCCCGTATTGTATATTTCTCATAGAAACGGTAGCACTAGAATTTCAAGCGACTTAAAAATTTATAGACAATTTTCTATAGAAACATACTTACCACGTGCCGCATACAAACCAGAAATTATTCGGCTGTCACCACTGTTAAAAAAGGTAGATACCTTTTTTTTTTATTGAAAGAAAGAAACAGTTAGGTATTCTTTTCAAACTACTGAGGGTAACTGCTTTTTTCCTGCACGCGTTACATGACTTTTATTTTCGAATACTAAATATTCGTGCATCTTAAAAAATACTCAAAATTATAAACATAACAAAATTATAAACATATTTTTTCCTACTCTTTCTTCTTCTTCGCTCTCTTGCAAATTTGATTCTTTTCGATTTATTTTTGCAACCGATTGCAATAATCACCTCCGCGCTTTCGAGACTTGATAATGTAGTCTCAATAAAATTATTTAATCGCTAAAAGTATTGGATATAAAATTATTATTTATTTATTATTATGTACAAAATATCCATATTATTATTAGATATTTACGATATTTATTTTACATTATTGTATTAGATTTACATTATATTATTATATTATTTACGATATTTTAATATCGAGGATATTTTACTGATTTTTGAGGCTAAAATGACATTTTATTGCGATATATGTGTATTTCTGCAATAATGATACAATTTTATGATTACATATTTATATAAATGTAATTATTAATATAATTAATGTACGATTATTCCTACAGTTTTTAATTACAATAAGTTTATGCTATTTATCTATCGAGATAAAGTGATCGATTGTGCTACGTTAATAGTCATTGCTACATAATAAAACACATATGGTTATATTTTCCGATATTTTTTTTCTGATGGTTTACTTTTATTCCGAATTGCAGAATAGAATTGCGTTTTTATGAAAGGGTTAAAGAAAATATTCATAAATGTTAGGATCTGTTTTATGAGGTAAATGATTTAATGACCGTCAATTTTCACGAAAATTTTTGCGGCATGTTTTTGCCGAAAAGAAACTTTAAAGTCACTTTAAATTTGGCGATAAATAAAATCGCCGTTAGGTTCGCTTAAAATAACAATGCAGAGTAAAAGAGAGGGAACTTATCTTCTGCAATAAAAATTTATTTTTTACTACATTGTAAGAATTCCAACAGTATTACAAGTGTCGCTCTAATAGCAAATTTGAATATTTTGTCATTTATGGTATATATTGTTCTCCGTTCTATTCGAAAAACGTGAAGCAAAATGTTTCAAATTCATTCTTGAAGAAATAAAACAATTCAAAGATAATCGCGTATTTTTTATCGATGAAAAAATTTTTAGAATTTCATAAAGGCTCGTAAAAATGAGCAAAAAATATCGAATGATTGTATTGTAGCATCCATGTTGCAAGATCGCGAGAGCTCAAGAGAGTGGTTTGAAACCGAGACATCAGAGAGAATTCACTGAAATAATTAGGGACCATGACAGATTGATATCACTTTCAAAAGTTCACTTTTAGATTTCCTTAATTTTTATATTTGATCAGGGGGGATTTGTCCAACGCAAAGACATACTTCCATCTTGCTGTGCGGGATATCATTTTATCATTAATGTCTGCAAGCGTGGCTTGTGAAGTCAACTCTTGCAACTTTTATCAAAGATGCAGTATCCTTACGCGGTTTTCAGATTTTGGTGCGCACCAAAGGGCTTACCACGAACAGGATAGACATAGAAACCTGACCTTTAGAAAATGTCTTGCCTCCACGTCGTTAAACCCCCCATGGCGTCGGTCGCACGCGACCCCGTACACTCGTACAATTTATATCCCCGATGATGGATTTGAGTTTCGCAAATTGGTTAACGGCGCGGTTTACGAGCCGTTTAAAGACAATCGTTAAAGTTTACAGCTTTCCGCGCTTTCCGCGATAATTACCGGCAAATGCAATTTCCGTCGCGAAAAAAGACGGCGTAAAAGAATAGAAGGGAGGGCGAGGGAGAGAGAGAGAGAGAGAGAGAGAGAGAGAGAAGAGAGAGATTCGAAGGACGCGGCGCACGACATTCCATAAAGCGGATCGTTAAAATTTAATGATATTCACCGAATGATTGTAGAATAGGGCAGATTATCATACACTGGAGGCCAACGAAGCGCACCGGCGCTTCTATTGCGCAGGAGAAACAGGAGCAAAACGCGAAACCCACGACTAAAACCAGTTATCGCGCATATATCTGCCGCATTAAATACAATGTGACACGAAAGGGGTTAATTTGTCGCGGATCGAGAAATGTCGTGCGTCGAGAAAATCCCGCAATCTCTTCTGTCTGCTTCTTTTACCTGATATATATCTCTCAATGAGGAATTTTTTCACACCTGCTGGTGTGTATGCGTGATATAAACCGTTAGGTGTTCCCAGGAAGGAGCGGAAGGAGCGACAGAAGGATAATCGTTAAGATGATGAGTTAAAGAAACGGAGACGGATCAACATGGTATGCCCGGTACTCTCATTAGTGAGAAATTAATAAACGAACAAATCTAAATCCCACGTAGAAACGACCGTTTCGCATTTCCTCCGTTAATGACTAATCCGGTCGGTTTTTAATCGACCGACCTTATCAACCTCGATCGATGACGTTGGCTAATAAAATAATAATTCACGTATAAATAGATCCAATTTTCGTCAATTTCGTTATTATTTTGTTAAGAACAAGAATTACGCGATATAATTATAACACATTACCTTCTCCGTTGCCTAGTGAAATAATTTACTATTTGCATAGTCATTTATAATCAAAATACGACAAAATGGCTTAAGTATAACGAAAACGATCTTGTGAATTATCTAGTGCAAATTAAAGCATATATACGCAGAGAATTATATTTTAGGAACACGATTATGATTTCTTTGATGTCATTCTTTTGTGATAACACGTGGTATATTTTAATATTATGGAAATAGATTTCGCCTTCATTTTTAATTTATATATAATTTATAAAATTACTTTTAATTTATATATAATTTATAAAATTACTTTTAATTTATATGTAATTTATGAAATTATTTTTAATTTATATATAATTTATAAAATTATTTTTAATTTATATATAATTTATAAAATTATTTTCACATTTCTCTGGTATAGTATTGTCACATTTTCGCAACTTTTACTGTATTTTTTAACAGGCAGTGCTTTGATAAATTATATTTTATCAGCTTTCAGTTGGATTTGCTGCCTAGAGAGGGTGTAATCCAAATATACATTCTTTTAATTAATATTTTTTATTTATGACAAAAAGATGAGATTTTTATTTCTTGCAAAAATTGATCGGATCTAAAGATTGTTGTGCTTATTCGCGCTTTCCCTCTAGTAATAAATACTCGCTGACGATTGCGACTGCGTCGCGTTCCAGACAGAGATTAAACTGAATCAAATTACATATTTGTGGCCGGTAAAAAAAGTTTACAAATTATACAGATTTCGTGCGCAACGGTACCGGCAGATTCCCCGCGATTAATCGCTCTCTGCGGCACGTTACAAAGTAGTAATTTCTCGTTATAATCGTTTCTCTTTATCGGATATCCTTTCGAAAAGTAAGACCGTCGAAAAGAGAGAACAAGAGAAAGAGGAGCGAAAAAAGAAGTCAATAAAAAAAAATAAG